ACCAAATGGAAATTCTGGAACCAAAAATTAGTGTGACAAAATTAATAGTTTAATATGTTAATTTAGTAGGTTATCAGAACAAATGACTAGTGAACTAGAAAACAAGCCAGTAGAAAAAATTCCGACTTACACACAGAGGGAGAAAATGATGAAATTGTAGAAAACGGCTTAAGAGATATATACAACGTGGAGGAAACAATCTAACTTTCCTGCAATTAATATCCCACAAGGAGAAGAGGGAGTGATTTTAAATAAATACTGGCTGGGAGTTTCCTACAACCAAAGACCTCAAAGCACATATCAAATCTCATTCAAAAAGCACTAAAAACCTCAGGCCAGATGAATAAAAGAAAGATCACACCTGGGAACATCATGATTATACTACTGAAAATTAAAGAGAAACAAATTTATTTTTTAATTTTTTCAATTTATGTTTTTGAGATAGAGTCTCACACTGTCGCCCGGGCTGGATCTTTTTTTTTTTTTTTTGAGATGGAGTCTCATTCTGTCACCAGGCTAGAATGCAGTGGCATGATCTCAGCTCACTGCAACCTCCTCCTGGGTTCAAGTGATTCTCCTGCCTCAGCCTCCCGAGTAGCTGGAACTACAGGTGCGCATCACCTGCCCACCTAATTTTTTTATTTTTAGAGAGACGGGGTTTCACCATGTTAGCCAGGATGATCTTGATCTCTTGACCTCCTGATCTACCTGCCTCAGCCTCCCAAAGTGCTGGGATTACAGGCATGAGCCACCACCTGGCCAAGAAGCAGAAAATCTTAAAAGTAGCTAGAAAAGATAATTACCTTGCCTTCAAATGATCAATAAGACTGACAGCTAAGTTTTCTTTTTCTTTCTTTTTTCTTTCTTTCTTTCTTTCTTTCTCTCTCTCTCTCTTTCCTTCCTTCCTTCTTTCCTTCCTTCCTTCTTTCTTTCTTTCTCTCTCTCTCTTTCTTTCTTTCTTTCTTTTTTTTGCCTTTTTTGAGATGGAGTCTCGCACTGTCACCCAGGCTGGAGTGCAGTGGCATGATCTCAGCTCACTGCAACCACCTCCTCTCGGGTTCAAACGATTCTCCTGCCTCAGACTCCTGAGTAGCTGGGATTACAGGTGTGTGTCACCACACCCGGCTAATTTTTTGTATTTTAGGTAGAGACAGGGTTTCACTATGTTGGCCTGGCTGGTCTCGAACTCCTGACCTCATGATCTGCCTGCCTCAGCCTCCCAAGGTGCTGGGATTACAGGTGTCAGCCACCTCATCCAGCCACTTTTCAACATAATCTATGAAAGCTAGAAGACAATGGGATCATAATTTTAAAGTATTGAAAGAAAAGTCTCCACCACAAAGCATTCTACTCCCAGCAGGAAAAAAATCCAGTAAATATCCCACACATTCTTGGAAATGAAACCTCTATGAATTTGGTCTGCAGACAGGGATTTGATGCCAGATCATTGCTGAAGCTCATTCTCAATGTGGAACTTTTTTTTATTTTCTTTTTTGAGATGGAGTCTCGCTCTGCCACCCAGGCTGGAATGCAGTGGCGCGATCTCGGCTCATTGCAACCTCCGTCTCCTGGGTTCAAGCGATCTCCTGCCTTGGTCTCCCAAGTAACTGGGATTACAGGTGTGAGCCACTGTGCCCAGCCAATATAAAACTATTTTTTTAAAGGAGGATATAAAATTATAAAATGGGAACCACTTATTGGAAAGAACTTGTGATATTTGTGTTAACAACAGGTCCCTGGAATAGCACCATCCAATAGAAATATAATGAAAACCACTAATGTAAGCCACAGAGATCATTCAAAATTTTCTTGGGGCAGTATTTTTTAAAAGTAAAAGAAATAGGTAAGATTAATTTTTAAAATATATTTTATTTAATCCAGTATATTCAAAAATATTATCATTTCAAAATGTAATCAGTATGAAAATTATTGAGATATTCCTACTTTTTTTTTGTACTAAGTCTTTGAAAGCTATGACATGTCTCAATTTGTCATACTACTAGCATTTCAAGTTCTCAGTTGCCCTGTGTGACTATTGGCTACCATATTGGACAGCATAGTAAGGGATGCAAGAGATGTACTAGGCAGTGGTTTTCAACTGACTGCCCATGAGAGTGACCTCAGTGAGGAGCTTTAAAGAATGCAGATCCCAGCTGGGTGGGTTGGCTTTCATCTGTAATGCCAACACTTTGGGAGGCCAAGGTGGGTGGATCACATGAGGTCAGGAGTTCGAGACCAGCCTGACCAATATAGTGAAACCCTGTCTTTACTAAAAATACAGAAATTAGACAGGCATGGTGGCAGACACCTGTAGTCCCAGCTACCCGGGAAGCTGAGACAGGAGAATTGCTTGAACCCAGGAGGCAGAGTTGCAATGAGCTGAGATCGCACCACTGCACTCCAGCCTGAGCAACAGAGTGAGACTCAGTCTCAAAAAAAAAAAAGAATGTAGATGCTCATGCAGGGCTGCGATTAGGGTAAAGCAAGTGAGGCACTCTGCCTGAGCACAAAATTTAAGGAAACACAGAGACACACACAACCCTCATTAATAAAAATAAGTAATATTTTAGTGCAATATTTTGACAATCAAAATTGCTGGAAAAAAATTGTTATGAATAAAATACCAAAATTTTTAATGAAAACAGGACCAGATTACTGATTTTTGCCTTTGCCTCAGGCTCCAGTATGACTCAGCATGGCCCTATGCCCATGGCCCACCCAAGACCGAATAAATCAGCATTTCTGGAAGTAGAGCCCAGGCATTAGATGACTCTGATGTGCAGCCAGCAGTGGCAGCCACTATTTAGTCTACTGTCTGTCCTAAAGCTCAGATTTCCTGATAACGTGGGAAGTTGATGAGTGGTCATAATTCTGGCATGTGATTTTTTTCCCTAAAGCCCCAAAATATAGTTTTCTTTTTTGGGCTTCTAGTAACAGGAAGTTCACAACTTCGCAGGGCAGTCATTTCCACTGCTGGACAACTTCAGGGTGACTTCTTATTTATTTTGAGAAAACTGTCAAAAGATAATTAAAAAAAAAAAAAAAGTAAAGCCATGCCTCTCATACAGATATAAAAATAAATGCATGATAAGGATTTTATTTAACAGGTGGAACTGCCAGGCACAGTGGCTCACGCCTGTAATCCTAGCACTTTGGGAGGCTGAGGCTGGGAGGATCACTTGAGCCCAGGAGTTCAAGACCAGCCTAGGCAACATAGTGAAACTCTATCTCTACCAAAAACCATATACAAAACTTAGATGAGTGTGGAGGCACATGTTTGTGGTCCCAACTACTCAGGAGGCTGAGGTGGGAGGATCACCTGAGCTTGGGGAGGTCGAGGCTGTAGTGAGCTGTGACTGAACCACTGAATTCCAGCCTGGGTGACAGAGTGAGACCCTGTCTCCAAAAAACAAAACAAACAAAAAGAGGGAACTAGGCAGATATTATAATGGGCTCAAAAGAGAATTCCAAAACAGACATCTGTATAGATCAGGAATATTGAAATTTGCAAATGGAGGCAAAATAGGTTTTTCCACAAGGGGAGCAGAAAAAGGAAATCAACTGAGCCTTTATCAGACTGGACAGGATTTGCTTGTCTCTCAGTTACCTATAATTTACAGAATTATAAAATATCTCCCACAGACTGATAAGGCAGCAGGGAGTGCCGTAGACCAGCGGTCCCCAACCTTTTTGGCACCAGGGACCGGTTTCATGGAAGACAATGTTTCCATGGACATGGAGGGTGTTAGAGGGGGTGTGGTTTTAGGATTAAGCTGTTCCACCTCAGATCATCAGGCATTAGTTAGATTCTCATAAGGAGCATGCAACCTACATCCCTTGTTTACACAGTTCACAATAGGTTTCTCGCTCCTATGAGAATCTCATGCCACCGCTGATCTGACAGAAGGCAGAGCTCCTGCAGTAATGCTTGCTTGCCTGCTGCTCACCTCCTGCTGTGTGGCCTGGTTCCTAACATTCATATAATATATATATGCATGTATATATATATATACTTTTTTTTTTTTTGAGACAGAGTTTTGCTCTTGTTGCCCAGGCTGGAGTGCAATGGCGCAACCTCGGCTCACTGCAACCTCTGCCTTCTGGGTTCAAGTGATTCTTCTGCCTCAGCCTCTGAAGTAGCTGGGAGTACAGGCACCCACCATCATTCACAACTACTTTTTTTAGTAGAGACAGGGTTTCATCATGTTGGCCAGACTGGTCTTGAACCCCTGACCTCAGGTGATCCACTTGGCTCAGCCTCTCAAAGTGCTGGGATTACAGGAGTGAGCCACAGTGCCCAGCCTACCCTATATTTTTTTAAACCATCACTCTTACAACAGTGGTTTTCAAATTTTGGTATACACAAGAATCATCCAAGAAGTGCGGTAAAAGGCAGATTGCCTGCCAAGTCTTCTGAGCTTGGATGATGCCCATGAAAATGCCTTTTTTTTTTCTTTTTTGAGGCAGAGTCTCACTCTGTTGCCCAGGCTGGAGTGCAGTAGAACGATCTGGGCTCACTGCAACCTCCGCCTCCCAGGTTCAAGTGATTCTCCTGCCTCAGCCTCCCAAGTAGCTGGGATTACAGGTACATGCCACCACACCTGGCTAATTTTTTGTATTTTTAGTAGAGACGGGGTTTCATCGTGTTAGCCAGGATGGTCTTGTTCTCCTGATCTTGTGATCCACCCACCTCGGCCTCCCAAAGTGTTGGGATTACGTGTGTGAGCCACCGCACCCAGCTGAAAATGCTTTCTTAACAAGCACACTAGATGATTCTGATGCAGGTGTTCTGAGGATCATATTCAAAAAACACTGTCCTAGAATAATACTTACTCCAAATTCTAAAGACAGCCTTTTCAAATGTGTTCTCACAATATTTGAAGGTAGCTCTTGATTTCAAATCAGATCAATCTTAGTAGTCTTTCTGTGCTAGTAACATTTTATGTACTTTGTTTCTGAGATAATATACTATTTCTTTTCTCCCCATTCAAATTTTACAGGACAGGCAAGGAACTGTTTTTATATTATATGAACACCTGAAGAGAGACAAGTTGGGAATGTTGTGAGTATGAAGTGTTTCTGAGAGTTGTATTAAGCTAAGAAATAATCACAACTAACAAGAATGTTGCTTCTCATGCATTTTAATCAGCATGCTGATTTATTAGAAGTCTATATTTAGAGGCCAGGCGTAGTGACTCACACCTGTAATCCCAGCACTTTGGGAGGCCAAGGAGGGTATATCATGAGGTCAGGAGATCAAGACCATCCTGGCCAACATGCTGAAACCCGTCTCTACTAAAAATACAAAACAAATTAGCTGGGCATGGTGGCATATGCCTATAATCCCAGCTACTCAGGAGGCTGAGGCAGGAGAATCGCTTGAACCAGGGAGTCGGAGGTTACGGTGAGCCAAGATCACTCCACTGCACTCCAGCCTGGCAACAGAATTAGACTCTGTCTCAAAAAAAAAAAAAAAAAAAAAAAAAAAAGTCTGTATTTAGATCTTCAGGTATTTTATAAAATGACTGTAAATGTGTTAGTGGGGGGTTATAAATATAATCGATTATCCAAAATTGATGGATAAGGTTTAGACTTAACAACATATTATACTTAAACACAAACACAGATAAGGCACATCAGGTCTCACTGATGAGGACCCCACTCAATTATCCTAACTGTGGAAGGCAGTTGTCATTCTGGCATGCTTAGAAAAGTGCTCTGTGCTCTGGTGATTTCTCACGACGTCCCCCCAACAAGCAGGATCTGTGGCCCCTCCTCAGATCCAGTTTCAGCCCGGATGCAATCTTTTCAAGATACGCGTGTGCTAAGCACAGGCTGCTGGCAACACTCAGAGGCTTCCGCACTTCTCCCAGATTTCTCTCTGGGGTATTTTGGAGCCTAGCAAAGCTGTCTCCTATCTGGGACTCAGAATTTTAGAACCACAACCTTGAGTCATCTCTTATTTCATATTTTGGCATATGGTACCTTTAAGTCATCCTACCTAATTGAAAACTGTCTCTGCCCTATATTTCTCTTCCTTGTAACCTCTGTAGCAGTGTAGACATGGTGGCTTCACACTGAAACACACAGAAACATATACACAAAGATCTGGTCTCATAAAAACTAACCAAATAGCCAGTGCCTCTACTAAGCACTGATGTTCCTGTGCAACCTCAGTCCCTCCCTCCTCAACCTCCCCTCTGCCCTACTGTGGTCAGTCTCTTAGAAACTGATCCAAAGAGGTGTGCACTGCAAGCAATGGCTGCATAGGACAGGCTTCAACTTCCTGATCCAAAATACAGTCCTTGGTTCTGCCAAAGCATGATCAGTTATAACACACCATTCCCAATACAGTGATATTCACCCCCATTGATACTTTTTTTTTCTTTTGAAATGAAGCCTCGCTCTGTCCCCCAGGCTGGAGTGCAATGGTGCTATCTCTACTCACTGCAACCTTCACCTCCCGGGTTCTAGCGAGTCTCCTGCCTCAGCCTCCTGAGGAGCTGGGATTACAGGTACTCACCACCATGTCCGGCTAATTTTTGTATTTTTTAAGAGAGATGGGGTTTCACCATTTGGTCAGGCTGGTCTTGAACTCCTGACCTCAGGTGATCCACCTGCCTCGGCCTCCCAAAGTGCTGAGATTACAGATGTGAGCCACCACGCCCAGCCTCCTTGATCCTTTGGAACTTAGGTAAATGTTCTGGTTTCTTCCCCTTTGGAACTAGAATGTGGCTACAGTTTAATCGGGCACTTACAGTCTTAAATGCTTTTGGTTACCTGGGAAGTCTTTTCACTACATTACAAAGTCTACAATGAATGAAACTCTTTGAGTCCTCCCCTCCAGTTTCAGTCATTCTCCAAGATCCCATAAACATGCAAAACGTTTTGGTTCTTGTTAAGAAAGTCGCTTCCCCATAGGGACTCTTCACCCATTTGTCACACTGCCCTGATAGCAACAGAAATGAGACCTCAATCCGTAACATCCCAACAAGCATGCCTTCATCGTATCTTCCCAGGGCCTTCACATCCAGAATGATGACAGAGCCAGTGACACCTCTGGGCATGTGCAGGGAAGGATCTGCCCTTTGCTTCCCAGTGATGTTCTGCCCCTCAGCTCCCTCCCCGCTCCACCTTTCTCTACCAGAAAATTTGAAAGCATTTTATCAACAGTACTAAGCACAACTCTAGGTGTTAGGAAAACAGCAACAAGCCATGCCCTCAGGAAGCTGCCACTGTAGTGAGTTGGGCACACAGGAAACAGGTAAATGTGGTCTAGCATACCAGCTGCTGACAAGCCAGGAAAGGGGAACAGCAGTGCACTAGGAGCTGGAAGATCAGAGATGAAATACTTCCCATTTCGCTCTCCCCAAACTTGACACTGTGATGTCAGGGCTGGGCAGAACGTAGACCACCGACCAGGATTTGCCGGGAGCAACTGGGACTAGGAGAACCAGGCAGTCATCTGGATTTGAAGTTGGCAAGCAGGGGAATATGAAATTTGTATTTACCCAAGTTATGAATCTAAGCAGGAAATTTTCAAGGTCTAAGTGTATTTCTAAGCTCAGGAATTCAGACAGATAGGTTAGTTAGGTACAAAGAAGTAGAAATCAGAACACAGAGATAGGAACTGTGTCTTACTGGGCACCAGCTGGCATGAAAGATTAACTGCAAAGGAGAAGCTGGGACAGGACTGGAACTAGACAAACCCCTGTGAACATACAATAAGGCTGGGAGGGGTGAGCTCCCTTTGGGTGCTGGGCGAAGAGCAGCCAGACAGGCCAAACAAAGCAGCCAGGATTCAGGTGCCTGGAGGTGGTCATCCTGAGAAGCAACCAGCTCATACCATCAGGAAAGTTCCAACGACAAAGCGTAAAGGGACAACCTGAGAGCTAGGTCAGGGGGAGCTCCACCAGAGGCACTCAGAGAGGAGGCCACTTTTGGAGACCCAAGCTGGAAGGGGATGGCATGAGGCAAGCCTGTCAGCAGGCAGCAGAGCGCAGCAGAGGCTGACACTCAGGAGCAGGACTTGTGTCCTGGAATTGATGGGATGAGACGGGGGTAGTATCACCAAGGTAGAGGCAGAGTTCCTGAGGTGTGGGCCACAGGGTGAGCTATGCAGAGGGGTACTTGGGTATAGAGGAACCAGGCAGGAGGAAAACCATCACAGAAAGTAAGAGAAGAAGAGGCTGTTTCATGAACAGAGAAACTCGCAGTCGTAAAACTGACCTAGCAGCAAGGTGGATTTGATGCTGAAGCCTGCAGAATGAATAATTAGACTGGTAACCAAGAGGAACTTGCCCAGCTGTCCCTACACCTGCACCTGAGATTTCAGGCAAGCATGCCTTGATGTGCAGGCTAGCCTTCAGTGGTAGAAATAGCCCTATTGATGTACCCTCTAGATAGTTATTGCATTCACACATCCTTCAGGGAGGGCACCTTTGATATGGGTCTCTTGAAACCCTTTAGTCCTGTTCTACTGTTTTCTGCCCATCTTATTCTCATCCCTAACTGCGGTCATAGAACCAGATAATGTCAGAACAGGGAAGGGCCTTCAAATTAATTGATCCTCATATTATAGATGGGAAACAGGCTTAGAGAGGGGAAATGATTAGCCTGGGTCACACAGTATGTGATCTGTCTCCTGATCCTGTTCTTTTCTCTACACCACAAGTCTACACTGAGTGACCACCTTGTATAGGAAGCCCTATAATGCTGCAGGATGGTTTGCAAGCTGTCTCTGAAATCTTTTTAAAGTGGATGTTTGGGCTTCTAAAGACGACTGATCATGAACAGGGCATATTCTCCTCTGAACATAGGGAGGGCACTCTCATTAAGTAGCAGGAATAGCTTGTATACATGAAATAGAAAATCAACCCCAGACAAAAGTCTCCAGAATACTGAGATGCAAATGTCTCCACAGACAGGGAAATCATTCAGCAAGGATCACACTTAGCGACAGTTCTCCTAAACTAACTTAAACCATTTTTAAAATGAGCTCATACAACATCCTAGCTCAGTGGTAGCCTTTCGCTAGAAATGACTGACCCTATTGCTATATTTTTCTAAGTTGATTAATAAAAAATATTTATTACACAAATCCTTTTTGTTGACAAGTTAAAATGGAGTCTCATCTTTCATATCTCCCTGAAGATTGCCACCTTGTGAGATTGAAAATACTCATTAAATTCCATCACCAGACAGGCACAAATGAGAGGGCGATTGTTTTTAAGCATGTGAGGGGAATCGTTGGTAAACTCATTTGTTTGGATATCATTAACAGAACAATCGGCGAGGATCTCCAGGGGGTCCTCATGACCTTTGCTCACAATCTCTTCATCATCCATCAAGAAATATCAGCACCTAATATGCAAGGCGAGACCAATTTTAAGGTGAGGTGTTAATTAACTAACGATTCTGGTTAATTTCTATACAAGGGCTGAAAATACCTCATGCTGTATTGTAAACAAGTGCTAAACCATCTTTTTTTTATTGTAAGCAGTACATATTTTACAATGTGCAGGGTCAATACCGTAAGGTTCCCACTGAAGCCGTTAGTTAAATTTAATAGTCTGAAACTTCTTTGAAATAGAGTTGACTTTTAACTTGCTGCCATTTTCAAACCACAGCTCATAAGATAGCAGAGCTTTCTGATGCTGAAAGTGAGTCAGAAATGTCACAATGGAACCAAAACAGTGATTGTCACAACCAAAAATTGTGAATGTTACCTATTTATATTCCAGATAATACAGCGTCTGACTAGTGATTCCTGGGTAGCCCTTGTTTCTAGAGCCAGAGAAGTTCTAAGACCCAAGAAAGCAATGTGTATTAAGGAGAAGCAGAAAATATAGCATGTATGTGGGCAATCTACCCTACCCGTTTCTCCAAAGTGGGTTGAATTATTTCATGCTAATCTTTAGAAGCCTCTATATGACCTTTAAAGATGTTGGTCCATCAAATCCAGTTGAGTATAATTGACTAGAAGTCTCCAAACTAAACTACAGGAACAAGGTCTATACGGAGTTTCTGAAATACTGTCTGAGCAGAGATGATCATATGGTATTGAACAGCAAGGTATGAATCGAATTCCTAGCCTAGGCCTTCATTCATTCAAAGGACACAATCAGAAAGCACCTGTGGTTTTCCCTTAAAAGTCCAGCAAAGTGCTCTCTTTGGCAGCACATATACTAAAAGTCCAGCAAAAGCTTCATAAAATTGTAATTGTAATACATTTTTAATTCAAGCTACAGCCTAACTCCTTTAAACCAATAACATTAACAATATGATTTTATGAGCTGGAAGAATGACCACTGCTTTCCCTACCACATGATTGAGAAGATTCAGGAAAAGATAGACCAAATATTACATCAATGTTCACTGGTCCTAAAGGATCTATGCTCATCATTTACTGTTTTTGTTTTTTTTTAGAGATGGGATATCTCACTCTCTTGCCTAGGCTGGTCTCAAGCTCCAGAGCTCAAGGGATCTTCCCCCTTGGACTCACAAAGTACTGGGTTTACAGGCATGAGCCACCTTGCCCGACTTCTCATTTACGTTTTCAGTTCCTGCTAGCTTGTAGCATCATCTTACCTGTTAGTGCCATGTGCACAACTTTGAGCCTCTCTGCATTTGATCCATTCGCCCTGTCTAAATATAGCTAATAATGAGGATCAGGTGGTTTAACCTCAAATCCATGCAGACTAAGTTGATTCTGAGCCTGTCTTGCTGTTGGCAGAGTCAACCACCCCTGACAAAATGAAAACTATTTCTCTGCCCTTTCTCCGACTTTCAGAATCATCAAGTCAGATGTTCTTGGGTAGCTTTTAATTACGTCATGGTTTCTAGCCTTCTCAGATGAATGATTGTTTTCTGGACTTTTACTCTTGTTACATCTGAAAGCAAAAACTTTAAATCTCAGTAATATAGGTATAATAACAAAAACTTGAAGCAGTGGAATAGATTCATCTTTGCTAGTTTTTCTGTATTCTACCTAGTGGCATTATGGTAGATATTTTCAGTTTTTAAACAAGGATTTACCAGCAAAGTAAAGGCTAAATGAAAATGGAAGGTGATGAGGCTGGGCACTGTGGCTCATGCCTGTAATTCTAGCACTTTGGGAAGCTGAGGTGGGTACATTGCTTGATCGCAGGAGTCCAAGACCAGCCTTGGCAATGTGGTGAAACCCCATCTCTACAAAAATTAGCCAGGTGTGGTGGCTCATGCCTGTAGTCCCAGTTACTTAGGAGGCTGGGATGGGAGAATCATTTGAGCCCAGGAGGTTGAGGCTGCAGTGAGCCTAAGCAACGGGAGTAGGAATAAAAAAAAAGGAAAATTGGCCGGGCGCGGTGGCTCAAGCCTGTAATCCCAGCACTTTGGGAGGCCGAGGTGGGTGGATCACGAGGTCAAGAGATCGAGACCTTCCTGGTCAACATGGTGAAACCCCGTCTCTACTAAAAATACAAAAAACTAGCTGGGCATGGTGGCGCGTGCCTGTAATCCCAGCTATTTAGGAGGCTGAGGCAGGAGAATTGCCTGAGCCCAGGAGGCGGAGGTTGCGGTGAGCTGAGATCGCGCCATTGCACTCCAGCCTGGGTAACAAGAGCAGAACTCCGTCTCAAAAAAAAAAAAGGAAAATTATGCAGACAATGCATTTAACAAAATTCAACACTCTCTTCTGATAAAAATATTCGACAAAGTAACAATAGAAGGTAACTTCCTCAACCTTATAAAGACATCTACAAAAAAACCTACAGCTGATATCGTAGTTAATGTTGCATGACCAAAAGCCTTCTCCCCAAGATTAGGAATAAGACAAAGGTGCCTGCTCTTGCCACCAGTATTCATCATTGTCTGGAGGTTCTGGACAAGAAAATTAGGCAAGAAAAGGAAGTAAAAGGTGCCGGGTGCAGTGGCCCCCACCTGTAATCCCAGCACTTTGCAAGGCCAAGGTGAGAAGATAACTTGCACTCAGGGGTTTGAGAACAGCCTGGGCAACATAGCAAGACCTCATCTCTGCTAAGAAGAAGAAGGAGAAAAGAAGAAATAAAAGTAACAGCCTTTCTATTTGCAAATGGCAAATTCTTATAAATAGAAAATCCTATGAGGCAAGAGGATTGCTTGAACCAGGAGTTTGAAACCAGCCTAGGTAGCATAGACAGACCCTATCTAAAAACTAAGAAATTAGCCAGGTGTGGAGGCACACCTGTGGTCCTGGCTACTTAGGAGGCTGAGATGGGAGGATGGCTTGAGGTGGGTAGGTTGAGACTGCAGTGAGCCATGATCTGCACTCCAGCCTGGGTAACAGACAAAGACCTAGTCTTAAAAAAAGGAAAGAAAAGAAAAATTCTAAAGAACCCATCAACAAGTTTATAAGACATAAAATAGTATACAAAAGACAATTGTATTTGGGTAATGGATAATGCAAAAATACATTTTTTAAAAATTCAAGTTGCAATAGCATCAAAAAGAATAAGATATTTAGAAATAAATTTAGCAAAAGTGTAAGATGTTCGCAGTGAAAACTATAAGACATGGGTGAAAGAAATTAAAGACGACCTAACTAAACAGAAAGAGTCTGTATTCATTCAATAGAAGACAATACTGCTAAGATGCTGATATTCCCAAATTGAGCTATAGATTCAATGTAATTCTGATCAAAATTCCAGCTGGCTTTTTTGCAGAAATTGATAAGATGATCCTAAAATTCATGTGGAAACGTTAGAGACCCAGAATAACCAAAATAATCTTAAAAAGAAGAAAGAAGTTAGAGAACTCACATTTCTCAATTTCAAAACTTACTACAAAGCTACAATAATCAAGACAGTGTGGTACTGGCATAGGGATAGAAATATAGATCAATGGCATAGAACTGAGTCAGAAATAAACTTATACATAGTGGCCAACTGATTTTTGGCAAGGGTGCTGAAACAATTCAATGAAGAAAAAATAACTTGTAAATAAATGGCATATACAAATATTAAGTTAGACCTCTACCTCACATCATATGTAAAAATTAAGTTAAAATGGTCTGGGTGCAGTGGCTCACACCTGTAATCCCAGCACTTTGGGGGCCGAGGCAGGCGGATCACCTAAGGTCAGGAGTTCAAGAACAGCCTGGCCAACGTGGTGAAACCCTGTCTCTACTAAATATACAAAAATTAGCTGGGCATGGTGGCATGCCAGTATAATCCTAGCTACTTGGGAGGCTGAGTCAGGAGAATCACTTGAACTTAGGAGGCAGAGGTTGCAGTGAGCCAAGATTGTGCCACTGCACTCCAGCCCAGGCGACAGAGTGAGACTCCGTCTCAAAAAACAACAACAACAAAAAAAAACCCTAAGTTAAAATGGATCAAAGATTTAAATGTAAGGGCTAAAACTGTAAAACTCTCAGGAAAAAAAATACATATAAACCTTCTTGATCTTGGGCTAGCAGTGGTTTCTTAGACATGGTGCCTAAAGCACAGCAATCAAAGTGAAAATAGATAAATCAGACTTCATCAAAATTTAGAAGTTTGTACATCAAAGAACACTATCAACGACCTACAGAAAGGGAAATAATATTTGCAACTCATATATCTGGTAAGGCATAGTATCCACAATATATAAAGTGCCCTTAGAACTCAACCACAGAAGGACAAGTAACCCAATTTTAAAAGGGAGCAAAGGATTTGAGAAGACATTTCTTCAAGGAAGATATGCAGGCCAGGTGTAATGGCTCACACCTGTAATCCCAGCACTTTGGGAGGCTGAAGTGGGAGGACCATCGAGGCCAGGAGTTCGAGACTAGCCCAGGCAACATAGTGAGACCTCATCTCTACACGCACACATACACAAATTTTAATTAGCCAGGTATGGTGACACACACCTGTAATTCCAGCTGCTCAGGAGGTTGACGAGGGAGGATTGCTTGCGCCCAGAAGGTCAAGGCTGAAGTGAGTTATAAGCGCACCACTGCACTCCAGCTCAGGTGATAGAGCAAGACCCTGTCTCGAAAAAAAAAAAAAAAAAGCGTACAAATGGCCAAGAAGTATATGAAGGAATGCCCAACATGGTAAGTTATTAGGGAAATACAAATCAAAACCACAGTAAAATATGTTATACCTAATAAGATGGCTACAGTTAAATAAAAAGGCAATAACAAGTGTTGGTAAGGCTGTGGAGAAACTGGAACCCTCACATATTGCTGGTAAGAATGTAACATAGTATCACAGATATGTAAAGTTTAGCAGTTTATAAAAAAATTAAGTGTCAAATTACCATATGACCCAGCAATTCCATTTCTAGGTATATGCCCAAGCATATTGAAAACATGTGCACACAAAAACATGTACATTAATATTCATAGAAGCAATATTCATAGTAGCCAAAAATTAGCAACAACCCAAATATCCATCAATGAAGAAATAAGTGAATTTCATTCTATTCTATTCTGTTCTATGGATAATATTTTATATAATGGGATATTATTCAGCTCTCTAAAAGGAATAAAGTACTGATCCATGCTACAACATGGATGAACCTTGAAAACATTATGCTAGGTAAAAGAAGGCATTCACAAAAGGTCACATATTATATGGTTTCATTTATAAGAAATGTGCAGGAGAGGCAGATCCATAGAGACAGAAATAGATTAGTGGTTGCCAGGGGCTGAGGGAGTGGGATGAAATGGGGAGTGACTGCTAATGGGGGCAGGGCTTCTATTTGGGGTGATGAAAATGTTCTGGAATTACATAGTGGTGATGGTTACTTGCAAATATACTAAAAACCACTGAATTGTATACTTTATAAGGGTGAATTTTATGATATGGGAATTATACCTCAATAAAATATAAATAAAGTAAATGAAAAGGTGTCATTTTTTTTCTTCCCAGCAACCAATGGAAAGAAACCTTCCCATCAGCCTGCTAGCCCTCTTTTTTTTTTTTTTTTTTGAGTTGGAGTCTCACTCTGTCACCTGGACTGGAGTGCAGTGGCACGACCTCGGCTCACTCCAACCTCCGCCTCTTGGGTTCAAGCAATTCTCCTGCCTCAGCCTCCCAAGCAGCTGGGACTACAGGCACATACCACCGTGCCCGGCTAATTTTTTGTATTTTTAGTAGAGATGAGGTTTCACCATGTTAGCCGGGATGATCTCGATCTCCTGACCTTGTGATCCGCCAGCCTTGGCCCCCCAAAGTGCTGAGATTACAGGCATGAGCCACCACACCCGGCTGCTAGCCCTCATGTTAGGGTGACTAGACCAATGCTTCTCAAATTATCTATAATAAAGAACCATTTGTTTTGTTTTTATCTAACCTATCACAAATCAATATTAACAAAATGTTAAGCAAAATTTAATTACTAGAAAAATAAGATTAAAAGATTAAAGACCTACAATTTAAAAGCCCAATTTTTTTTTATTATTAAACATCATAGGCATAAAAATTCTAAAAAGTTTTTCAAGCCAGGCGCGGTGGCTCAAGCCTGTAATCCCAGCACTTTGGGAGGCCGAGGCGGGTGGATCACGAGGTCGAGAGATTGAAACCATCCTGGTCAACACGGTGAAACCCCGTCTTTACTAAAAATAGAAAACATTAGCTGGGCATGGTGGCATGTGCCTGTAATCCCAGCTACTCAGGAGGCTGAGGCAGGAGAATTGCCTGAACCCAGGAGGCGGAGGTTGCAGTGAGCCGAGACCGCGCCATTGCACTCCAGCCTGGGTAACAAGAGCGAAACTCCGTCTCAAAAAAAAAAAAAAGTTTTTCAAATTCTTACTCTCAGTTTTTTTACTCATTTCAGCAAGACTGGTAAGCCACAATTTGTAGACAAGTGCCAGTTGGTAGAATGTATTCTGAATAGAAGTGTTCTAAACCATGGTGAACTCCCAAAAGGAGCGGATGCTTGGGGGAGAGGGATTGTAAAAGGTCTTTAATAAATATTGTCTTTACTATTTACTTACAGACTGCCATTGCTGATATTGAAACTATTCTAGGAGTAACAAAGGAAAACAAAATGAAGTTTGAAGAGGAACAACAGTCCAAAGATAATAAAAACCTCTCTAAGCCGAAGAAATGGTCCTGTAATAAGAGTACATAACCTTTTGGATCCTAGTCTGAAATAAACAGGGCAATATTTCTTTTGCTGTTAGAAATCAAAACCAGGGGAAATTGGCTTGCTTTGTGTGCTAGGAGGTGAGTCAGAACAGATTTTAATGAAATGCTCTTTTTAAAAAATTGTTTATTAAGTGATCTTATTTTACTTATTGAACCAAAACTTATTTGTGTTTTTACTTGAGAGTGTTGAACAGTCCCTTCTTCTTCTCAAATTCAGGAAAAAGTAATCTGATAAAAGAAAAAAGTTAAGTCTTCCTGATATCCACTCTGCATTTACTACCTCATAGGCTTCAGGATTATGCAGTTTTTATTGTTTATGTTTTAGAAAGTTTTCTCCTATTTCTAATAGTCATTGATCTTCTGCATTTATAGAGTTAAATAAAGGCTTACTCGCTGCTATTTGTCAAAACACAAATGCCTTTTTTTCAAAACTTCAAATTTATATTGAAATTATATTTATATGAATTTTTAAGTGGCTCTTTATCATTCATCATGCTTTTTTGTTATACCAAACCACTATTGTCTGCTATTGTTGCTATTTTTCAAAAAGTAGGATAAGCCAACATCTAGTTAACCAAAGCATCAGAATGTATCTAGGTGGCAGCATCTGCTCTTGGTTTAAGATGGAGTGTAACTGGAGCCCTGTAGCTTGAATAAACATTTGTATTCTCTAGTTCTCCATTTAATACACCAGTGGGGTTTTTTTTTTCAAGCTTAGTTCAACAGTACACTACTTTTAAAAAGGCAGATTGTTAAGATTATGTAGTGCTGACACTAACTTTCAGCATCGGCTTCATAATTGTCCAAAAATATTTCTATATCTGCTAGCTTTACTGAAGGGCAAAATAAGCAAGTTACAACACCAAAACCATGTATTGTTTTAAAGAATGACCTTTATGTCTATAAAAATATTTTCGTGTATTGGGGAAAGGAGGAGGATTTTTACCTATGGAATTTCAGTCATCTGTTAACTGTGCTTCAGCCACAGGCTAAGAGCTTCTGTAATAAAATTAACATTTCTGTGCGAAAGCTTTTGTTTTGTTATAGTTGAAAATACATTAATTAGCCAGGTTTCCTGCCTGTGCTAGGTACAACGCTGACCTCTTTTTCTTGCCAGATTTCTCTCATCCATTGGAGGGACGCATTGTCCAGACACTTGACAGATAGGAAGTACTACATGCCCATTAGAATCGCGCCTCAATTGAAGCCAGAGCAACATAAGGTCCAAGAGACTCATTAGTTCACTGGCACAATCGTGTCCTGAGAGTAAATGAAACCCTCTGTCTCCTTATGGCTCTCATCTGCTCTGGACTTTAAAAGAAAACTGTCTCCGTTTTGTTCGGCTCAGTGGTGGATCATTCACATGGCGAGAGCCCCTGCTTAACAGTACAAAACTGTTAAATCTATGGGGAAGTTTTGCATGTGAATTTTGATTAGCACTCCTGAGGCTCAAGCTGCTGGCAATAGTCAAATGAGTTCACCATCCTATACCCATTGTGTTATTCACTTGATTGGTTTCTCAAACAATGCCACTTTCTTCCTTTGCAGCCATCGTTTGCATACACTGCAGAATTCAGACCTGTGATCCAGATTCATGTCTCATTAGAAAGTGATTGGGAGCAAGGTTCTCTACCTAAACATCTACAGCTTCAAAATTAAAGGAGAAAAATCGGTATAACAAAACAATCACTTCAAGTAATTAAGTGGAAGAAGCCAAAGGACCAGATTAAATTAGTGACATGTTTTAATTACAGAACATTTGAAAAGAAGCAATAGTCCATTATCTTTTAGCACGTATATGCTACAAAGATGCTGTGCCCTTGGTAAACTAAGGCACGTTTGAAAAAAGAATCATTTGTATGTGTACAATATCTAAAGTATCCTAAATATAATTTAGTCGTGATGAATTAATTACTGAGCTTTTGCTCTTCTAAATAGGAAACCGAAATATTTGTTGGTAAGAGGATTTTGGGGAAATGTACCATTTTCCAGAAAGTTTTTGGGAGAAGCATACATTAAACAATAGAGATATCTTTGTATGAGAAATGATCCTTTTTTTTTTTTTTTTGAGACAGTCATGCTCCTTCATTAGGCTGGAGTGCAGTGGCGCAATCTCGGCTCACTGCAACCTCCCCCTCCCGGGTTCAGGAGATTCTCCTGCCTCAGCCTCCCGAGTAGCTGGGACTACAGGTGCGTGCCACCATGCTCATAATTTTTGTATTTTTAGTAGAGATGGGGTTTCACCATGTTGCCCAGGATGGTGAAATGACCCATTATTTAATGTTGAATGTTTGCAGTGGTTGGAGAGCATTATTGGATATAAGTATCTCCCTTAATATATTACATATTTTATATTGATTTTAAAGAAACCGAAGAGATTATAATATTAAATGTTTACTGCCTACTGTGCTGTCTATTTAGTGACCTTTCCATAAGCTCGTTACAGTTACTTATAGAACAAACTGGGAGATAGGGATGTATTGTGCTAGAAGCTTCATATACATTATTTCATTACATCTTTTCAACAACTCCATACATGTAAGTACCACAACTGTTCTCATTTTACATAGGAGGAAATTGAGATTTAGTTGAGAGTGTCTCACCCCATGTCTCAGGCCACATGAAAAGAAATTTGGGATTTGCTCTCTTTTACCACAAATTCCAGCATGTTGTACAAAGTCAAAGGTTTAGTTTCATTTGTCCCAGATCATGCAAAGGATTTGCACATTTTTAGAGTAACACGCTCTAGTGTGTTACTTAAAACATAGGAAAAGCAGGTGTACCTTAATGCATACTTCCTGCTAATGAAATGAGCTTGACAACTGACGGCATGGTAAGGCATTGCAATTATCTGATCAAAGTCAGAAGAAAAAAATGGGGTCAGTGGAATTCTCCTATGGTGATGGATCTGTAAGACTTTGGTGGAGAATGATGTTGGAAAGGCATAGAATTTGGAAGCTAGGAAGTCATTCCCTGAAGTTTCAAGAGATGGGTATAAGGTTAAGAAATCCTGGAAGCATTGGGAAGGGCTTCCAACAAAATTTAGGGTAGCCTGGAAGAAGTTTGGGGAGCATTATTTCAGCTATGTCATCCTAAGAATTGTGAGCATCCTGTTTTTTAAGTATAAAAATATGTATTTTTATCCCAAGTAATAGATTAGTAACCATCTGATAGTTTTAACAATTAATAATCATTTGTATTCATTTGGCACCTTTCTTCTAAAGAAGTGCTCAAAGCACTTTACATTTGTTACCTCATTAATTCCCAACACTGTCCCTGTGGGGAAGGTAATAAGTATTTTAACATTTAAATGTTTATCTTTCAGAATTTCTCAAGCATACATTAATTATATTTCCAAAAATGTAAATGTTCATTAGTTTTATTTTACTGTTCCTCTGGTTTTAATGTGCATAACAAATTTGTGCAACTATTTAAATGTACTAATCATGGTAAATCGTATCTGGAAACTGTAAATGAAGTTGCCAAGATAATGTGAGGGTGGCAGCGGGGGGAGGGAGGAAGCATTCCACTGCACTTTTCTCTCTGGAAGTAGTTTGGATCAACCCATCGCAATGGGCTCTTCTGTAACTTCTCCACACATCTTTCCTTCCAAGAGGCCTGCCCCAGGAGGGTCAGGACAGTATCTAAGCACTCGAGGCCAATAGAGTTGCTATTTATACCGTCGTTTTATTAATGATTTTGTCAATGGGGAACAGAAACTTGATGCTTGCTGTTAGGAATTACATCCCAAAGAGTCACAGAATAATAAGGGCCAGGAACTGGTCTTCCCAGCCCTCCCTCTCTCGAGCCTGGCCCGACCTTCCTCAATTTCCTAACTAGAAAAATGGCAGAGCGTATAGTACCTGCTCCTCAGGGAAGCAGTCGAGATGGATTGGCCAATGTTGGGAGAGTGTTTCAAAGATGCAGCGTTCTACATAAATGTTTAAGTATTATGATTACATGGCTACTTCAAATGGAAGTTCTAACTTTGAAATGTGATTATACACTTTCCAAAAAAAACCTTTCATAACCACATATATAGGTTTATTTTTCACTCTAACAGTCTGACTCGTGGCTGTGAAACTTTATTGCACTTGATGGAGGGCCTTGGCTTTTATTAGTTTTAAACTGCTGGTTTCTGGGGTATTTATGTAAATGAGGGAAAGACACCAAAACAGTAAATAATAAGCATGTTCCTGCTGTTTAAAAATCTGTTGGTAAAAACAACTTTTGTTATAAGAAGACCCTATACATAGCACAGAAAAATATAGCTTTAGCATTAACATTTTGTTTCACTTTTATAAATTGTCACCATATATATGTGCGTCACCACACACACACACACACACACACACACGCACACACGCACACAGGCAGAAAGTGGGGGGGGTGAGAGAGAGAGAGAGAGAGAGAGAGAGAGAAGTGAGCAAAATGCTACATTTTAAGATTTTTTTATTTAACAAACTGTTATAAAGTATACCAGATGGCTAATTATAGCTCCCAGAAACAAAGGCCACACCCAAGTTGACTGCAGTAGCCTCATAAGGAATATTATGATGAAATCATGGTCCCATAAACTCGACAGCGAAACAGCAGACCTGCCATTGGTTGCAAAAATCTTGAAATTAAAATTAAAATTTTGATTCATTTAAAGATTCATTCCACTTTGCTTCCCGGGAGAGGACACGAAATACTTTACAATCATTGAAAAACTCTCAATTATTTAGGAGCATGCTCTTTGTTTCCAGATTCCCTTTACAATGGTTTTTCATTTTCTTGGGCTTTATTTTTCCAAGTTGAAAATCTATAAACACAACTGTTAGGCCAAAAAAATTAGATCATTTGCAACAATAGTGAAGAATCAGAAAGGTTTAAATGTTCAATAACAGGGTATTGCTTTAAAAATATGGAATATCTACATTAAAGACCTCTATACAGCCATTCAAAAATCATGTTTCTACACCGACCATACAATCCAGCCATTCCACTCCTATGTATTTGCCCAAGAGAAAAGAAAGCATACGTCCATACAAAGACTTGCACAGGAATGATCAAAGCAGCTTGGTTTACAATAGCCCAGGGCTGGAAACAACCCAAATGTCCATCAGCAGATGAATGAATTAAAAACTTTGACCTGGCGAGGTAGCTCACTCCTGCTGAGGCGGGTGGATCACCTGAGGTCAGGAGTTCGAGACCAGCCTGGCCAAGATGGTGGAACCACGTCTGTACTAAAAAGGCACAAATTAGCTGGGCATGGTGGTGCAGGCCTGTAATCCCAGCTACTCGGGTGGCTGAGGCAGGAGAATTGCTTGAACCCTGGAGGTGAAGGTTGCAGTGAGCTGAGATCGCACCACTGCACTCCAACCCAGCAACAGAGTGAGACTCCATCTGAAAGAACTAAATTAGTGGTGCTGGGCGCGGTGGCTCGTGTCTATAATCCCAGCACTTTGGGAGGCCAAGCTGAGCGGATCACCTGAGGTCAGGAGTTCAAGCCAGCCTGACTAACATGGTGAAACCCGTTTCTACTAAAAATACAAAAAAGTAGCCAGGCATGGTGGCAGGCACCTGTAATCCCAGCTTTCTCCGGAGGCTGAGGCAGAAGAATCCCTTGAACCTGGGAAGCAGAGGTTGCAGTGAGCTTAGATTTCGCCATAGCGCTCCAGTTTGGGCAACAAGAGCAAAACTCCGTCTCAAAAAACAACAACAACAAAAAGAACTGTAGGATATTCATAAAATGAAACACGACTGAGCAATGAAAAGGAATAAACTATTGATAAATCAGCAGCATAGAAGAATCTCTAATTAGGTTGAATGAAAGAATTAAAACAAAAAACGTTATGTACCTGTTTAACATTCTAGAGCATACAAACTGTAGTGAGCAGAACCTGGGGATGAGAGATGGGGTGGGAACAGGGTGAGGAGGAGGAAGAGGAGGAAGATTACAAAGAGACAGAAGGCAAATGCTGGGGTGGTGAATATTTTCACTGTACTGACAAATAAATGATTTCTTGGGTATGTTCAGAG